ACTGGGCAGCTCCTTACCTCTTCTCACAGAGGCCACCCCTGTAGCCCCCCCACTACCAAAACCTTGTCACTTACACACAATACAGTAGTGCTTCATTTTTTTCCCAAGAAAAAGATAAATCAAAACTTAATTACTTAATTTGTGGATGCACCGTATTGAAGTCCTGGGTTCATAAGTAAACTCAGGACCAGGAACAATACTGTGAACTGGGGGGGCCCAAACTGGATAAGAAAGATATTGCTAAACTTGAGCAACTCCAGTGGAAAGGTACTCATATGATCAAGGGGCCTAGAGAAGAGTAGGCTTTAGGGGGACCTAACAGCAGCCTTTCAATATGTATGAGGAAGCCATCAAGACAACAGAGCTAGGCTCTTCATAGCGATGCACAGCAGCAGGACAAGAGACAACAGGCATAAGTTGAAACAAGAGAAGTTCAGACTGGATATACGGAGAAACTTTTTTACCATAAGAACAGTCAAGCACTGGAACAGGTTGCCAAGAGAGGTTGTGCAGTGTCCGTCCTTGGAGATTTTCAAGACCAGACTGGATAAAGCCCTGCTGAGTAACTTGGTATGACCTCAGAGCTGACCCTGCTTTGAGCAGGAGGTTGGACTAGAGACCTCCTGAAGTCCCTTTCAACCTAAATGATTCTGTGATAATTTTTATTCTCCTAAAGAAGATGCTTTAGAGAAACATGAAGACAAGATTATTAAAAACCATTTCTCCCACCCACAGTTTTTTCCTATTACCTCTTTTCCTCCTTTGCTCTCAGATGTTCTTCCTGTCTCAGAACCTGAACCATTATGGACTCAAAGACACCTGTTATCAAGCCTACTAAAGTACAAGGTGTGGAACGACGTCTTGTTGAAGTGCATGCCCTTCCCATCTCATCTTCCAGCCCATAGCACCCTCTTGATGTTACAGCTATTGTTGTTTTTGCTCTCAAATGCCTAGAAAGAAAAAGCAAGTCAATTCACAATTACAGTGTTCCTGACAGCAGCAGTTTGACACATATGCTTTGAAACACAGAATAATCACATTAACAATAATTGTTTTTTTCTGAGCAGAAGTGCCATGATAAGAATTGCCATTTTTTTCAGCTCTAAAATATAGGTTCCCTTACAAAAGTTTAAATTTAGAAGTGATCAACTGACAATTAAAGACATGAACTATTAAAAATGGTGAATATTTAACTCAAAGAAGTAACTGAATATTATTTGGAGAATAATTTAGAAAAAAATTATCTGTAAACATTTGGAGAGAGTCATTTCACCATACCTGAAATAAGAAACTACCATTTTTTTAAATACCACATACAAATACCGAAAGAATTAAAAAGCAATCAAATTAAAAAAAACACCACCTGCCTGAACAGAGTTCAGGTCTCAAAGGAAAAGAGCTGAACCCTACGGGGCATGAACACTGCCAGTATTCTCAAGTGAAGTTTGGTTTAAAAAAAGATTGGGAACTACTGACTTAAAGGAGTAATTGCTGACATAAATAGCTAACCAAGTTAGATTTGGCTCAAGTCAGGCATGGATTTACAAGGTAAGGAAACCCTTGTTATCCCTCATCTGTTGCAGTACAGGGA